TTCTCCCTCTCCCACTCCCCCTGCTTGTGTTCCCTCTCTCACTGTGTCTCTCTCTGTCAAATAAATAAATAAAATCTTTAAAAAAAAAAGAAAAAATAATAATTAGGAGACAGTTAAGATGATTCTTCCTTGGAAGTCAATCATATAAAATAATTATACAGAAATCAGTAGGCCAGTGGATAATAAAGAGGTAATTAGAAAAACCATCTTACTTTTCTTTAAAAAATTAAAAATCAAATCTGGTTAAAAACAGCTCAGCTTTCTAAACCACATGTGGAACAGAAGATCTGGTATGCCATCTGGACAGTGGGCTGGCTTAACCAGCCACCCACCCCCTTTGCAAAATGGTAGCATGAAAAAGCATCTTAGTGAGAATCCCAAGGAAAAATACCTGGTTGATGTCTCAGTGGTGAGCTCCTGACTATGGGCTCGGGTCAAAGCATCAGTTCCCCAATCAGAGGACTATCATGACAAAACCCAAACACTGCATGAGGAAGAAACAATGAGGAACAAATACGTGCTAGGATGGGGTGAGCAGAGATGTTCCAACGGGATCTAGAAGAAGGGCTACAGAGAGTGCCGGGGACAGCAGTGACAGTCAGCCCTGGTCAGTACTTGAGGTAAATGAATACGTTTCTAAAGTGTTCGATGTGAACAGGACATGAGAATAATCAGCAGAACCTGACAAAAACACACGGTGCCCCACCAACCCCGGGGCGGCATCCACACGGTGCCCGGCGAGGATCCCGGGATGGCCCCGCCAGGTTCCTGGTGGCGTGCGGTACCTACTCTCCATCCACGCAGTGTTGGCCGGGTCCGCAACCCACCGGGCGAGCACACTGTCCTCCTTGTGCACCCGGTCGTCGCTAGGAGAAAACAAACCACAAAATCACAACAGTGGAATGCTTCCTGTCATGAGACCGCTGGATGTCCCCAAAGGGTACATCTGCTTCACCGTATGTACATTTTATGTTTTCCCCAGATATTATGATGGATGTTCTGAGCTGAGCACACGTCTTCTGAACTGCTGCCCACGCATTTTACAGTATGACAAGCCTGCTCACACCCACAGTCTGGACCTGTGTAGAAGGACCCAAGCTTGGGATTCCCACCGTACCTTCAGGGCACCCTGTGAAATTAGGAGTTCATTAGTTAACTCTTAGGGTTAAGCCCTAACTCTTAGGGTTAAGCCCTTAGGGTTAAGTGGATCTGTGCTCCACTCTCATCTATTAAGTGACAGGTGCTGGTGACCTTGCTCTGTATCTACAGGGGCAGAGGACACGCTCCCCCCGGCTCACTGCTCACCTGCCCTGGTCCTGGGATGTATACGGGATAGGTCTGGTGACCAGGCTGCCTTTTGGGGGGGTACCGGAGCTGTGCCTTCCATTAAAGTCACCCTGGGGCGTTCACTCCCCAAAACCGGTCACCAGGAAGCTGAGGGAGCTACCTGCAGACACGTGCGGGAGGCTTCTGCCCCCTCACTCAGCAGGTCCTAATCTGCACGTTCCCAATTTAACACCCCAGCTGCGGCTTCTCAACACAGAGCCCAAGTTCAAGCTTCCATTCCCCGCTATTTAGGATGCTTTTGAAGGCCCACTGAAAGCACGGCACAGGACCTAGCACGACAGACATAAGAAGACGTGAAGTCCCTGCTCAGGAAGACCTGAACTGGCTTCCGGTTTTCCACCAGACCTTCTTGAGGGTCTGTTAGGCGTCACACACAGTGCCAGTCAGGAAGTCACACCAGAGTAACCGACGGGCCTTCACCGCTTTAAACGTGGAAAATAAGTTCGGTGATCTTATGCAGAAATCGGAACCTGTACACTGCTGATGGGGACGTGAAATAGCACAGCCCTGTGGAAGACAGTTTGCTGGTCCTCAGAAAGTTAAACATAGCATCACCACAAGATCCAGCAGTACCACTCCCAGGTACAGAGCCAAAGGGACAGGGAGCAAGGCCTCAGATGCTGCACAGCGGTGTTCACAGCAGCCTTATTCACAAGAGCCCAAAGGTGGAGACCACCCAAGTGCCCATCGAGAGATCAATATGGACTCACAAAGGATTACTATTCAGGCTTGAAGAGGAAGGCAATCCTGACACATCCCACAACATGGGGGAGCCTTGCAAACATGACACAAAGTGAAGTAAGCCAGACCCAAAAGGACAACTACCGGGATTCCAATTACATGAGTTAGCGAGATTCGGCAAGCTCGGAGAGACGGAACGCAGAAGAGATTCTCTGGGGCTCTGGGGAGGGGAATGGTAGATTACCACAGAACGGGTAGAGTTTCTGCTGAGAAGATGAAAAATTCTGAAAGTAAATAGTAGTGATGGTTGTACAATACATGGAAATGCACAAGATGCCACCACATTTTATACTTAAAACAGCTAAAATGGCAAAATTTTCTGCTATATAGATTTTAACACAATCTTAAAACAGATGATGCAATGCACCAAAACCCACGGGCAGAGTATACTTGAAGCAGGCATGGTCTGTGGATTACACCTCAATACAGCCACCTAGCATCAACACACAGACACACCGCCCATGCGCCCAGCACACGAGCTCGTGGAAAGCCCTGGTAAGCCTGATCTTTAACTTTGTAAAATTCTTACCCGGCAGCAGAAGGGGACACAGGAAATAACAGTGAGGCACACAGTTTTAATGCAGGTGTGCTCACAGAGTTCTGGAAGAATGAAGTGAGACTTGTAGGCAGGGTTCGGGAATGGAAGTAGGAGTTCGCCTGGAAGATGGGATTTTCCTGGGCATCTCAAGCAGATGACATAGCATTTTTGAAGGCAAGTGGCATGAAAGAAAGATCTACAATCAAATCAGTTTGGAGGACTCTGGATGAAAGGTGGGTTAGACACACTGAAACCACCCCCCCCACCTGCCGCCACAGGATTCTGAGACCCTCTACGACTCTAAAGCCCATGGAGCGTTAGCTACACGGAGCCTGAGGAGGGCTGCGTCTTCCTGGTCTACCTGCCTGTGCATTCAGACGGCCTGTCTTTCCACAGAACAAGATGAACACCTTGCAGAGTCCTTGTGTTCCGGAGCACCCATGAGGGTACAGAAGACAGAGCTGTCCAGGGCCTGGGAGGGGAGGGTCTCGGGCTGGGGACAGGCCTGGTCAGTCACCACCTCCCAGCACTGAGGGCGGACAGGCCAGCACCTCGTATCACTGCGTTCCACATCTCAGGGAAGGGTCATGAACTCAGAGCACATGTGAAAAATTAACAGAGATACCTGTTCATTGGATCCTCAGAACTTAAAGAATTAAACTGGCCGTCTTCTGTTACCTCTTGTGTTTCTGTGAGGAAAAAAAAAATTCACACGGTTTTAGTCTTAGGGAAAAGTATTTAGGAAGTGGATTTTTAGCCTTAAAATGGTTTTATATTTTTTTCAATGATAAGCTTATCTTAGAATAAAAATGATTAGTTGATAGATTTAGAGTTTTTTCGGGTTTTAGATAAGATGTATGTAAAGTGGGATGACAGTAAAAACAATATCCAAAAATCCTCTAAAATAGCTGGAATTAAAATGGTACCCCAAAGAAAGCAAGCTAGAGGGACAAACCTGTTTCTCTCATTCTTAACTTTTTCATGGAAATTTACAATTATGATTTATTGGAAAGTGTGTCTAAATGGCAGCCTCCAAAGATTCTCAAGGGAGAAAGACTTACGTTCATACCGGACAACCAACCTTTCATATACTCATGCACACATACACACACACACTCACACATGCTCACAAAGTCCATCACACGTGTCCCGGCCGATAGCTGTTCTCCCACCTCTGGGTTTGGTTCACCAAGAGGGTGATGAGCTCAGGACAACAGGCCACGTGCTCAACCAAGGACCGGTTGGTAATGGCTACACCGGGAAACTGTCCATAAAAAGCCTCTAAAAAAGAATCCATTGTGTGCTACTGTCCACGAAAGCTGGGAGATCTCACCCACAAAAATGGTCCCCTGATCCTGCTAAATACCAAAAAATACCCTTCCTCCGTAGGGGGGAGCTCCCTGGCGGTGCAGCGGGGACCACAAAGACACGAACTCATCGCATTCTCAAGGCCACTCAACGGTAGGCATCTGCCAAGGACCACATGTCAGGTCAGGGGCAGGGCCAACATTTGGACTCAAACCTGCCTCCTTCCAAAGACTGCTCTTCCTGCCACATCACACTGCCCTAAAGAATGATCCACATTGCCTCCCAAAAAGACAAAGCTATTCGACAAAGTCATTGAAGAAAGGACATTAATTGGCAAAAGCACACTTCACACCGTGAGATTTTGCCTGTGGCTGGGTCAAGGGCACCACTCCCCATCCCTGAATGCACACCACCCAGGCCTCGTCTCGACTGCCCGCCCAAAACGACACTTTCTTTCCCTGTGCTCCCCCTTTCAAGAAAGGAGATGCACCCCGATTTACTGTCTGCTCAGACATAAGACCTTTGATAAGGGGGGGGGTCAGGAGAAGTTGAGCATACTCAGTAGTCTCTCTGGCAACACCAACTGCTCATCTCTTACTGTTCTGGAAAGATCTGGAAGCTCGTGCTAAGGAGCAGAGCACCATGAGTCTCTGGCCATTGGAGGACCACTAATGAACAGGAGGGGAATCTTGGAATCTTTTTTCAAAATAGGTTTTGGGCAGTGGGGAAGAGAAGGGGTTCTGGCTGTTGCTGTATCTGAGGGTCGTGTTCCCGGTGGGACGACCTCCGTGCTGGGGAGCCTTGTCCTTGTAGAGCCTGGAGGCCCGCCATGTCCACGGGAGAACCACAAGGTGCAAAGAAGCTGGTCAGCACACGGCAGGCCACCAGCGCAGGTCCAGGCCTTGGACCCCAGCCTCACACCATACTCCAGGCTTTCCTCATGACCTCAGCAAAAAGGTCGGTGCCTGTTTGTCTTTAAAGGCTCAAGAGACAAACACAGACCCGTGTTCCTGGATCTGGGGCCTTACAGTAGGGTTTATTACAATAGGGTTTTATTAATGGCTCTAGGATGACAGCATAAAAATAAGCCAATGGTTTTTAAGTATACTGAATTACTTAAAAATAATGTTCAATTATTAAAAATAACCAAATGATCTGAAAATAAGCAAATTACTTTAATATAAGAATGTGTTCCTTAATCTTTTTTTAATTGCATAATCTACTTCCTTATTTTTAGATCGTTCTCACGCTTCGGGCTACAAAATACGAACAGCATTGTTGATCGTGGTAAATTTCCAAGATTACTGCCAATTACAACAGGAAAACATATGGGGAAACATCAACCCGGAGAACCTCGTGTGGTTTCCCGATATAAATTCAAGACTTTCTTTAAACACGTTTTGTCTCCGTTGTGATTAAGAGGGAGGGAAAGCACCCATTTACTGCAATCTCACAGAGTTACGACTCTGGGTCAGGGGCCTCTCGTCCCTCCTTTGCCCTCACGTCACCCCATGGCATGTCCTGGCAGAGAGAGCACGGAGGTCAGGTGGGAAGAAAACTCAGCAGGGCTGCGTTCACGGGGTCCGTCCTGAACAGAACACGGGGCGCTTTGCTAAGGGGGGACGGTGTCGCGCTCTCGGCAGCCCCCAGACGCCTGGGCCCACAGCAGGGCTGCAGGTGCACCAGCGTCCACGTCTGGGTCCGCTCTGGCGGCTAACTGAACACCGGGCACCGCTGGTCTTACGAACAAGATGCCTGTCGCCTGGGTGTGCAGGGGGAGGCGCACCTTCCCCATGCAGGGACGCGGCATGGGTGACGACGGGGCTGGAGTAGGCCGGCAGGAGCAGCGGCAGGTTGCAGGGCACGGCGTAGCCGCAGGGCACGGGCACCGAGTACCCGCTGGGCACAGGCAGGCTCAGGCCGCCGTCCTCAGGGCCCGGGTCTGCGGGCGGGCACTGCTCCTCCTGGAAGGGCGCGATGTCGATGACGGAGTAGGGGCTGGCCCTGGTCGGGACCTCACGGGCGGTGGGCTCTGCCGGGGCATCCGTGTCTGCTCCCGTCCCAACGTCACCTTCCGGAAGCAAACATGCACGCATCAACAGGGGGCCATGGCCGACCGGCCCTCCGGGGCCCGCGCAACCCCAGGGCACCCTGGGGCATCGGAGGGGCGAGGCAGCCCTTGGGGGGAGGTGGGGCACCCGGGGCCTCTGCACCGAGACGAGCAGGGGAGAAGCTGCCTGAACTCGGGGAGCTGCTAAGGGCGCAGAGAGGCTGCTGTGAGGGCCAAAGACATGCCAGGTGCGCGCCCCTCCTGGCCGGGGAGTCCCAGCAGACGACCCCACCTCCAAGAGCTAACGTGGACTCGACTCCCCCCACAGTGTTAGTTCTGGAACTGCATCCGCCAAAACTGGGGGGCGTGCTCATCAAGTATCGACAACACCCACCGCCTCCAACACACACAGGGGAAGCAGGAACAAAGGAGAGTCAGCCAATTCAAATCCGCCATTTGGCTCACATCACAGGGAGGTCAGGAACGTCCGCTCCTGGAGGCCGACTGCGCCTGCCACTCCCTCCAGCCGTCAGAGCGAGGGGGCCATGCGCCGCGTGGGCTGGGGGCCACGGGGGACCCACCTGAGCCAGAGGCGGCGTCTGCACCCGCAGCCTGTCGATCTGCTTCTGGAATCTCATCTCCGCTGTCAAAGTCGAACTGTTCCCCCTCGTCCTCCTCGTTGTCATACTTCACTGTGTCGCCTGCAGGTTGAAAGAACACTAGTTAGGCCAGCAGAAGAACAGACAGAACCGCTCACTTTCAGTGACAAAGGACGTCCGGGGGGCCAGAGGAACAGGGCGAAGATGAAGGGAAAATCGGGAAACAGGGGAGCCCACAACAGAAAGTTCAACTTCAATATGGAACGGATGTGGCTCACGCCCCATGGGTCCCCAGCCCCACGGGGTTCTGTCCACGCTGTCTGACCAGCAAAGCACATCAGCACCCAAAGGTAGGGGACATCGTGATCCCTGCCCACGCCAGGCCCACCTCCGGGCCCCTCCTGCCCTGGGTCCCTGGGTGAGGATGTGTGCGGGACAGCGCAGAGGGGGCTCGGACTCATGGATATCACCAAGGGGGCCTCGGGTCGGCATCAGGAGGGGCGCCTGAGACGGGCCATCTGGGGACTTGTCCACAGAGATGAGGCCTGTACCCCCCACGCTTGGCTCACAAAGTGGGGGGCAGATGGAGAGATGCCCAGTCATCCCATGAGAGGTCACACGCCCAGGCTAGGGAGCTGGGGCATGGGACAGAGGACGACATGCAGGGGAGAGCATGGGAGGGAGGAGCCTCTTCTGCCTCACTGCACCCCAACACTGGGGAGAAAGTCAGAACATGGAAAATCCCCTGAATTGGAGATCCTTATCTACCAGTGCAAAACTCCCTGCTGGTGACTGTGCTCAGACAAATCACAAAATATCACAACAAACTAGTCACTTTCCAGGGAGAAGCTCTGGTCAGTTAAGGTTATGTTCCACACACAGGAGGGGCCCCTCTCGCAGGACGAGGGACCTCAGATCCTAGAGGTATCTAGGGTGGCTCCCTTATGAAATAATGGGCACTAAGGAGGAAAAAAATGATCTGCTGAGAGAGATGACCTGAAGGTTAGCACGAGCCAAAATCGCTCACTTTGCCAGCAGACCGCCGTGCCCCAGAGTGACCAGCCACAGGAGGCATCTCCTGGGTTTGGGGGCACCTGCTTGGAGGGGCCCGAGGCACAGAGAGCTCCAGAGTCCTATGAGGCTGGGGAGGGATCTGCTGGGACAAGCACCCACTGCCCCAGGCCGGTTCTCTTCCAGATGGTTCCACCCCGACTTGCTAGCCAAACGGCTGGTTTCAAAAGGCACCTTCGGGAAACTGAGGGATTTGAATGCAGTTATCTTAGAACTGAAGACGCGTAAACAGGATCAGAGGCCAGCCTCGGGGTGGTGCTTCTTAGGGGTGAGGTAATGGAGACATCAGGGACCCCGCCCCTCCACACCCCTGTGCTGAGGCCGCAGGGCCCCCCTTCCCTGCTCTGCCCCCGGGGCTGGGGTCCAGCTGGATTCCTGGGATGGCCTGGGCCTCGGAGAGGGTGGTAAGGGGGTCCCGTCCCTGGGGTCAGGGTGGGCGTGAGGTGAGGCCAGGCCGGGGCTGTCCCAGCACAATGGTGGGCAGTCTCTGCCCCTCCAGCTCTGCTCAGAGCCCCCCGAGCGCCCCTCGATCCCGGGCCAGGGCCTGGGTCAGCAAGAGCCGAGCAGCGCAGGTGCCGAGCAGGCTACGGAGACAACCTTCCACGGCCCCCGGCCCGGGGGGCGACTGGGGGGCGGGACAGTCAGAATTGGGGTTCTAGAGGTGGAGTAATTTCTAGGGAGGGAAGTTGACAGACACGTATCAATGCTGGAGTCAGTCTAGAAACGGTCTTTCCAGCCGGGGCCTCGCTGTCCAGACGAATCTCTGATGGTCCAAAAGAAAAAGTGGTTTTAAATACCAGGTGTTTATTTTCTCCTTGAATCTTCGGAATCAGCAATACGTTCTAACACGTCCTTCGAAAGAAGCACTTTCTTTTTTTTTTTTTTTTTAAGATTTTATTTATTTGCGAGAGAAACAATGAGAGACAGAGAGCATGAGAGGGAGGAGGGTCAGAGGGAGAAGCAGACTCCCCGC